TGGGGAGGAAACAGGAGGTCACCCTGTTTAACGCAAAGGCTGGACTCGAACTGCTGAAGCGTCGACCATTTCTGGCCAGCAACTTTCAGCGTCATTAAGCCGCTGTGCCAACACATCCCCCGAACAAGATGATATCGGGATTCAAATTCCATCCTTGCATAGTTGCATTGAAATATCTCATGCAAGTATGCAAACCACTTTTTAGCATCCCGATGTTCTAATGAATGCTTCATTACTTCCTCTCCCTTCCTCATACAAGTCTGTGAATGCACTCAAATTGGAGGGGTGGGAACCTTCATTGCAAATACCTTTCCCATATTTTTTTTTTACACTACTACACAACTCTAAATGTGCTAAATAGGTCTCTTGGCTAAGACTTGCATTTGGTTTCTCATACTTATTTTTCCCATTGCTTGTTTGGGAATCAACAGGATGTAAGCAGGAGGAGATCATTCAATAGTATTTTGAAAATGAGCACTCCCTCTCCCAATAACTGTGTGGAGGTTTAGTCCGATGGTTTTGGGTCTTAGTGAATTAGAAATAATTGACTATCCATAGCTCCCGTAATCATGTTTTTTTGCTTATATTCTTGTTTATTTCTTGTAGACTTATGGAACACTATTTTCCTGAAAATGGGTTGAGATGTCCACATGAGAAATGTATTCAAAGTATTCAACTTCCTTAATATATGTTTTCTTTCCTCATCCTTTCAGCTATGTGACTCCTTTCCCATGCTGGGGTTCCTTTTGGGTTCTCATAAAATACTAATAAATAATAGAAAGGAAGTCCATGATTTCATACAGGCCACCTTCATAGAACATCTCAAAGACCTTGATGAAAATGATCAGAGGAGTTTCATCGATTCATTTCTTGTTCGGCAAAGAGAGGTAATAGATCATTTTATACATGCCTGGAATTACTGATTTTTTTCCCCGTATTTTAAAAGGATGCCTCTATATAAAGAACATGTAGGTTGGTTAGGATCCTTGCTTCAGAAATGTAGAAGGAACCAAATTTCTAGAAGTTTCTAATCATTCCCTCTTCATTATTTTATTTCAGGATTTGCAGCTACTAAAACAATACCTAGACTTTTTCTTCTCGCTATTCAAAATGGCATCAATATCAAGCCTTTTGTGGAGGAGTGGGTCCGGAGGGAGGGGTCTCCTTGGGGTGATCCCTTTAGTGGGCGAATCCTTTTGTCGTTTTGAGTAACTGTCCTCTTAGTCTTCGAGATTATTGATGATAT